CTTTGTTTGAAGGATCAGAAAAGAAATGTCTCTTTTTCACATTCGAAAAATATTTCTTGATTTTTCGTTCTTGAAATCATTTTAATCAAATATTTCAAACTATTCTTAATATATGTAACAATTGCATTGATAAGTTTAACTTTTAATCTATTATACTCTTTAGAAAAGAAAGATGTCGTAATAATATTGTTTGGGGTTCTAGATTTGGATATCATTTTCGGAACCTTATTTATTTCTAGGCAGAAAACTCTAAATTGTTTAAACTTCTACACTTCCTGGCTAAAGCCATTTGAAGTTGTGAACTTTTGAAGTAGAACTTCAAAAAAGGTTCAGAAAATGGTACCCAAGTTTAGAACCCTGAAAAGTTCAGGATCTTCGCTAAAACACTCAACGGTTTTTCATGACACGCTTTTTTAGCGAGCATAAAATCTATAAAACGATGATGAATTTAAATTAAACAAAGAATCATTTTTTTATTTTTCTTAATGGTGCCTACCTTAAAACAAGCCAAATACCTGAAATCAGACTCTTCCCGTCTGATTCGATGCCAATTTCCGTTGTACATTACATTCGGTTCATCCAATCCAAATGATCAAGTATACTACGCAATTGAAAAGCAAGAAAAAACATATTTCTTGAATACCTTGTTTCACATAGAAATGGACCATCATCAAAAGAAATTTTTCTTTCTTGTCAGGTGTGTTTTGTTCGCCTGCATTAGCTAAGTCTACACAGACTCATTTCCATATCTAAGTAGTATGTTTCTTCCAAGTTTCGCACATTTTTTTTGGCGTGAATAAGTAGAAAATATGACATTGTAAATTTAGCCAACTAATAGTGATGATTCACCTAGAAAACTTCAATATTTCTCCAGCATATGAGTTTCGTAGATATCGGCAATATCTATCGATTCGGGTGTGTCTTCAGCATGCACTTTAGTAGTTTTAATTTCGAATTTCTGCATACTTCGCCTGCGGTAATGGCAGTCTTTTTTGTATTCGTGATTGTTAGAAAGCATAGATGGAACCAGTCTAGTTTTTTTACGACCTGTATCGGTCTACCGGCAATGCGGACCATAGCCAGAAGCATGTAATGGATGCCTGTGCCTTCTCCCCATCTTGGCTAAAAACATATCTGGAATTGTACGAATAAACAACTTTTTCGTGAAGCAAAAGTTTCTTCTCTATTGATGTGCCTCTCCATTCAAAATTCCTGGGAACTTTTCTGTCAGTAATACATCGATTCTTACAATGAAATCTTGTCTCACAGTGACCTTTCCCAGTCTATTAACTTATATAATGAATTAGAAGTATGTGAACAATTGTGTACTAAATTTCACGAATTGATTTTCTAAATGGAAAAAAGTAGCGATCGGAATACCAACGTATTATATAAATCTAATATAATGCATTAATATTCCGGTCTCTGTTGTTTTCTATTTGAAGATCACACATTCAATATTAGCACATAATTGTTCAGATATTTCAGACTCGTGATAAAAATTAGTAACTTGCAAGAATTCACTGTGAAGCAAGATTTCATTATAATAGTCGAATTATTAATGGTAGACCAGCACTTACCAGGAGATCGATATTTATTATCAGGTTGGTATTTAATGGTAGACCGGCTTATTACTAGTAAACTAGTCAACCGATACCGGTTCCATCGATGTTACACAGGACTATAGCAAGCATCAATCTTCTTTAATTTCATCATCTTTTTCTTCGTCGTTCTTGCATGAATATCTACGTCTTTCTCTTCTAGTGCATGTTCATTATGTAAATATCAATGTCAATTGTTTTTCATCCTCTACCTCTCTCTTTTGTGTGTCTGAAGATGACTTGAGTGACGCATGATTAGCTGAAGTTTTCTTAATGAGCCAATTTTTAGGTGCTTGAAGAAAAACTTTTTTGTTTTTCCTGGAATAGTGCTACTGAAAGGAAACTCTGCAACATTGACTAATTTATAAGATTTATTGATGATGGTTCGATGTATCAAAAAAAAGAAAAAGAATAGCGATGTCGTGAACGAATGAGAAATAAATGTTTTCGTTATGACTAATACCAGCACACATGGCCTTACTTTCGTCTTCTATGAGTAATAATAAAAGATGAAAAACGAAACCCAAAAAAAAACACAATTTCCTATCTATGATCAATCTATGATTCAAACCCAAGATAACAAATCATATCTTTTTGTTTGCTTTCGGTTTTCGGTTTTTTATTATTACCCGTCTTCTATAATGTATTGTATCTGTTGATTTTCTCATTGGTTCATTCTATCACTAATACAATTTTGTCATACAACGTGTAAATTCGTTACATTTTGCTAGCGGTCTCATGAATTTTAATACATTGTGACATAAGAAAATATTTCGTTGCACTAATATGTGGTATATATTTGCAGCTTGAACCCTCAACGGTTACTCCGCTAACATCCGCCTATATCATTTGGATATACTCGCGAGTGCCCAATGTACGTAGATATGAAATCTACACATTGGAAATAATATTATCCCAAGAGGTACTGCTATAATTTCAAATAGAGTAATTAATGAATTCTATGTCAAATGAAAACTCGTCGAAAATGAAGTTTATTGGTACTAAATAATAAGAGTTCTGAAAACTTTCGCATAATTGAATTCTCAAAATGAATAGACTTTTATAGAATATAATCGTTTTACTCTTATTTTAGTGAGTTGTAAGTCAAAGCAACAAAGGAATTTTCTTTGGAAAAATCTAAAAAAGCCTTGTTCTAGCGATCATAAGATGTAACTCTGATTCAGAAAATAAAATTGTCCTTTTGCATTCTCTTCTCTGTTCCTCGTGGTAGCGATTAGTTAAAAGATTTTTTTATTTTTCTTCTGTTAGAAAGTTATAGAAGTGAAAAATTTAAGCAGCTTGTCGAGTAATATCTGAGGTCATCTTCTGATCGATATATTTCATTAAAAAAATTCATCCTTTTGGTGAATCAATGAAGTTCCATTACTTGAAAATAGCTAGTGGTGATGATACTGAACAACAGAGAATGGTTGACAGAATTAAATGCATTGCTTTTCGTGAAGCTCGATGCCAATGCAACATTTATAAATAGCTAATGAATCTATTTGTCATAGAATAGTGAGGAAAATCATATGCTCAATGTTTTAGTGATTATTCAAATACTGGTTCCAAGCTCAAAGTATCACAAGCTAGTCAAGACATCATTCTTAAAGCAAGTGGGCGACAAGGAAAAACTTTTTCTGTTGTGGCGAAGGAGATCGCAGAAAAGAAGAAAAGAATACATCTTTCCAAGAACAATCAGTAATTACCTACATAGAAAAGGATTAAAGCTATTCCATGTTATTTCAAAATCGTTAAAATCGAAAACTCATATAGCAGATCGGTTATGGCTGTGCGATTGGTTTAAAGATCGAACTGAAGAGGACTCTATTCATCTCGCACCATATGATGAATTTTATGTCTGGATGGATTGCCCGTAGACAAAATTAAGTATGTGTTGGGGTATTTGTTACATTTAATTGCAAGAGGTTATTTTGGATGATTAGTGATTAAGATGAATTTTTGGGTTGGTCAATATTTTCGTGACATAATTTTAACTCAAAACATACTTCCTCTCTTAAACAATGAAGAAAATGTTACTCATCCTGATGAAGTTATATTTGTCCATGATAAAATACTGTGTATGAGAGAAAATAAGACCCAATATTTGCTTCAAGGCAACGTTAGGTTTTGGAGTAATGATATCTGGCCCGAAGATTCACCAGATCTCAATGCGACAGAATGTATTAGATCAATAATCAAACATGAAGTTGAAAAAAATGTTATCAGAAACTGGACATAATCTGTATCTTGAAGACACACTCAAAATGTACATTTCAAATGTTTTGATCAACATGGAAACAGATACTGAGTTATTTGAAGCTCTTTTAAGTTCGTATTCAACTCGTCTTCATGCAATAAAGAACACTAGCGGCCGTCATACTGATTATTGCTTGTGCTCATTCAACGATGAAAACATAAATTATTTTGTAGTAGATTTATTTTTAATTTTTATCTCAGGAATAGTTTTTCTCATACTTCGTGTCGATGAAATATTATAAATTTTGAAAGTTCAACATAAAAATGTTTTCGTAACCTTTATTATTTAGTACCAATAAACTTCAATTTCGACGAGCTTTTATTTGGTATAAGACTCATTATTTACTCTATTTGAAATTATAGCAGCACTTCCTGGAGTAATATTAGTTCCAATCATGTACATATTTACCACTGATATAATGATACGAAGAGTTGTATCGACGAGTATTTTAAAAATAAAGATGAACTAATAAAAGTCACAATCAACAACAGGAATGATATAAACTCCTATTAACATCAGATGACTTTTATACGTCGAAGCTATTAACATGTTCCTGACCAGGTATTGTTCCATACTTCCTTTGTTTGTTTACGCTATGCAGCAATCACTATTTTCTTTATGAGTCATGTTAACAATGTATTGGTAGTTCGAAAAAATATTGTACTTTCTGCATTGTTCTCAAAGTTACTTATCGTATATGGATCGATCATGTTGAAATGGGTACAACTGCCGTGAATAATGAACCCAAGCGCATGAAATATATGTACTTAACAATGCGTTCAAATTCTTACATATATATATGCAATGTAGTTTCGTTTATCTCTATACACAAACAAGATATTAACATACAATTAGATTGAGATACATTAAACAAATATGAACAACCAACATGCTCTTATATTCATTGCAATGACAATGATGTTGACTAATGTCTATGGAAGTTGTTTAAAAGTTAAAATACTTTCAGCTCACTCAGTGTTTCATAAAATACAGGATGTAGTAGTGGAAGTGCAATACAATAATACTGGTAATGACACAAAAGATCAATTTATAAATGGTGTTTACCAAACAATGAATTAAATGATCCATTATTCAAAGTAACTCGTAATGATATTCCTGTTGATTATGTCGGTCCACTAATGAAAAGACGTGAACCGACTATTAAAGACGTAATTCCTCTGGAAGCTGGCAAAATAAAAATCATTCAAGCTCGAGTATCATCAGCATACGATATGACTAAGGCTGGCATTTATTCAATTCAATATGATATGCCAGCTGAACATGTTGTCTTCAAAGATGCTCAAACATTCGAGTGTACCCTTGCTGGGGGCATTGGTAAGCGTGAATCTGGTCTTCAGTCAAATAATATTCAATTGGCAATCGAAGGTCGTTCGAATATTCAACATGAACAAAATAAAAATATGAGTGTGATTAGAAAGGAAGGTCCTCTTTCATATGTTTCTTGTTCGCTAACTCAGAAATCTCAAATAAGGAATGCAGTCTCTTGGGCTCTTAACTATACCGATAATGCTTTCAATTATTTGAATGAGATTAAACCCAGTGAAACAAATCGGTATAAAACTTGGTTTGATAGATTTACGTTGACAAAATGGAATGCACAGAAAGTACACTTTCGAAATCTCAAAAACGTATTTAATTCGAAAACTATGACTTTCCATTGTGGATGCAAAGATGCTGGCATTTATGCTTATGTTTACAGAGACCAGCCCTATATAATTCACTTATGTCCTTTGTTCTGGTCCTCTCCAATGACAGGCACGGATTCGAAAGCTGGCACAATTATTCACGAAACCTCCCACTTCTCAGTTGTTGTTGGTACGTATGATTATGCATACGGTACGATGGCATGCACAAGCTTGGCATTGAGTGCTCCATCAAAAGCAATCATGAATGCTGATAGCCATGAATATTTTGCGGAGAATTTTCCTGTGCTCTTCTGACGAACTGAAATAAATACGAACTTAATTAACACATTCGACTCGATTCAGTTTTCTTAAAAAAATTTTTCGAGATGTTTATTTTCATGGGCATTTTACTTCTAATAAATGCACTTAATGACCTTTTCGTTATCTTCTACTGATTATCTGTCGTTCTCTTCTTTATATCACTACATAATGAGTCATTTTTTTCTGACCAACTGAATAATCGCT